AAAAGGGACTTGTGCCCGAATGGGAGCAGCATAGTATTTCCGCAAGAAGCACTGATTTCTTACATGAGTTCGCCAGTGCTCTTGCAGAAATTCAAGCGGCCAGTGTAGACAGCTGCTTTTGTGGAAAAACTTGCCAGTCTAGACACAGCCTGAGTATAAAGAGGCAGAAAAGAAGGGATGTAGTCACATCTTCTTCTTATTCTGTAGCATTTTCATTATAGGAGGTTTGCAACCATTGTAACCCATTCTGTACAGTCCTGTGCTAATCCTTTTGTAAATGAATAATCCTTTTGATCTACCCAGGATACCACAATATTCATCCAAAAATCTTTTTTTGCATCATGTTCTTCTGTCATTAACTTTCCCTGCCGGTGCCTGTGAACATGCATCACCTACTGAACTTCTTAAAATGTAAATTGAACATTTCTTTTCATAATTTAAGTAATGTTTGCTGAGTTCCAATACTTTTTCATTGATTATGTAGTCTATCCATAATGTTCTCAGAATTATTTCATAAGATCATAATTCTAAGGCTTATAGTTTCTTGATTTTTTAATATCCATATTTCATAGCCATAATTTAATAAAGACCAAATGTAGATTTTAAGAGTTAGAATTTAGAGTCTCCAAATTTATGGCTCTTTTGATCAGATGTTTATTCCACCAGAATATCTTTTGCTCTTACTTTTCTGGTTCTGGCTTCGGTATCTAATCAACCAACTTTTCTAATGATGCTTGCTAAGTAGTGATAATTTCTCAGTTGTTATAGAGCTGTCTTGTTAATGGGAATCTTGAATGTTTTCCCAGAATCCTTCCTTTAACTATCTGACTATATGTTCAGGATTCTGTTTTCCCAACAACAGGGGCTATGTCTAAACTACACCTTTTTTTCTGAAAAAGGTACGCAAAATGTGCTCCGCATTTTGTGTCCCTGTTTCCACCTTTTTTTTTTTTTTTTTTTTTTCCCAGAAGAGGCTTTTCCAAAATGTGGCACATGTATACTGGGTCAAATTTCAGAAAAACTCCTTCTTTCGGAAGTTCCCTTTAACATGGAATGTTCCTGTGGAATGAAGAAGACAGGGCTTCTGAAAGAGTGCGTCTGCTCTTCTGCAAAAAAAAAGCAGAAGAGCAAACGCGTTCCCTGGACTCAGTGGAGTTTTTTCAGGATACCTCTGGTATCCCCAAACCCCCCTGCAATCTAGATGTACCCTAGGTGTGTAAGGTATTGGCTTTTCACAACCCAGGCCAGACACCACTGCTACACCCTTTTTCATACAGTTTTATTTTCCTTTTAGGTTTTATTTATGATAGTGCGTCCTGTGCACTGTGGACAAACCAGCACCTTACAAGATGTGGTAACACAAACAACTAAAGTAATGCAGGGAGCTGTACATGTGTGTCTTGAAAGATTACAAGTTGGATTTTGCATACTTACAAATGGAAACTGAAAACTACATTTAGATATGGATTTCTGTGCATATATGGATTGCAACAATATATGTTCACTCTGTAGACTAGAGCAAAATACTTTTTGTCTGCATGTTACATAAGAAAATAAGAACCATCATGCTACAGCAGACTAAAGGCCCGTCTATCCCAGTATCCTTTCTTCCAGCAGTGGCCAATGCCAGCGCCCCAGAGAGAATGAACAGAACAGGTGTGATTCACTCTTTGTTGCCCATTCAAAGCCTCAGGAATCCAAACATCTTTATCCAAACAAGCAACTGTAGGAGAATAAGGGTGGAAGGAAGGGAATATTACAGATGTAGATATACAGTAAAACCTTTGTTGTCTGGCACTATGTTAACCAGCATTGCCCCCAGCCACAATATTGTCACATCTTCAGGCGCACAGACCTGGCTTGGTTTACCATGATTGGTTTAACAATTTTTTATTTAAGAAGTTCTAATCATCTTTAACTCAAAAGAGAAATGTGAGACAAACTGTCTCACACTACAAAACTACCAATATTAAAAACTCTAGTTTTACTATTATTGTCCATTGATTTTTCCTAGGTTGATGGGACCCTCAGATAAGCAAAATTTTTAGATAACTGCAATGTTCTAATCCCCAAGCATGCTGGATAACACAGGTATTACTGTAGTGGGATAGATATAATGAGACCTCATAGTCTTCATTCACTTTTTCAATGTGTCACACCTTTTAGCTTCTAAAAATTCAGAGAAGTTAGTATCCAAATGTTCAAACATTCAGAACTAGTAATGTATATAATGGGATAATTCTCACTTCATTGTGTAGTGAAGATGCAGCACAATTTTAGAAGCACATACTTTATATCATATTTATGGAGTATATGATAACATGATATAGAAGTTTTACTGTGACAAGAATTTAGGATGACCACATTACTAACAATGGCAACCACAAATGAGTTGTGTAGCTCATTCAAAACATCCTCAGAAAATTTTTTCATATTTCAACATCATAAATTCTGTATAGGCCTATACTTCACATGAAGAAAAACTACTTCAGAACAAAAATATTGAAAAGTATCTCTTGTATCTGTCCATTTGTATCTGTCCGGGAGCTCCGGTTCCACTGGTGCTCGACTACCTGCTTGGATTACGGTAGACGGGCCTATCCGCCTCGTCTATTAAAGTACACTTGGCTTCCCTTTCTGCCTTCCACCCTGGTTGGGGGTCTAGTTCCCTATTTACTGATCCGATAGTCAAGAGATTTGTGAAGGGCCTAGACAAAGTGTGCCCTCATGTGAAGCCACCCATTCCCCAGCAGGACCTCAATCTAATGCTCACAAAATTGATGTCACCCCCATTTGAGCCCTTAGCGACCTGCTCCTTAAAGCACTTGTCCCTGAAGGTAGCTTTTTTAGTGGCCATAACTTCAGCACGCTGGGTCTCCGAGCTTCGTGCCTTGACTATAGAGCCACCTTACTTGGTGTTTTCGGCGGATAATGTTAGACTCCGCCCACACCCGGCTTTCCTCCCCAAGGTGGTTTCACCTTTCCATATATCACAGGAAATTTTCTTACCTGTTTTCTTTCTGAAACCACACCACTCCCGTAAGGAACAGGTGTTGCATTCTTTAGATGCCAAGCGTGCCTTGGCTTTTTACATAAATAGAACAAAACTTTTCTGTAATTCAACCCAGCTGTTTATTGTATGCGCAGACAAAATGAAAGGCCTTCCTATTTCGACCCAAAGGTTATCCACCTGGGTTGCCTCATATATCACAGAGTGTTATAAGCTGGCCCACAGGGAGCTCCACTAGAGCTCATGTGTCTTCCATAGCTTTTGGGGCGCATGTCCCCATTGTAGAAATCTGTAGAGCAGCCACGTAGTCATCTGTCCACACGTTTACAGCACACTACACACTTTCCCAGCAGGCCAGAAATGATGCCGTGTTCAGTGCTGCTGTTCTTAGTTCTGTACTGTAAAAATTTAAGTCACAGAGGGTTTTTTTATGTTCTCTACCATCTCTGTTAATAAACTATATGGTGGTTGATTTAATCTCTCTTTGCGGTTTTAGAGGCATACTCCGACCCCACCTCCGTAGGGGTTTTTCTGCTTGTGAGTCACCTCACTCGAATGAACAGGAGCAACCACTTGAAAAGAAGAGAATGGTTACTTACCTGCAACTGTTGTTCTTTGAGATGTGTTACTCCTGTCCATTCAATTCCCCCCTACCTCCCCTTCGTTGGAGTGTCCGGCTAGAAGGAACTGAGGAGGGGGAGTGCTGGCAGGGGTACTTATGTGCTGCTATGGCGGTGCCACTCCAGGGGGTGACCTGCTGGCGCTATGGGTACTACTAGGGGGAAAACTCTCTGCAGAACTGTGCACGTGGCGTGCACACACCTCACTCGAATGGACAGGAGCAACACATCTCGAAAAACAACAGTTACAGGTAAGTAACCGTTCTCTTCTCTAATCTGGCACCGTCAGGACCTGACCGATTCCGAACAAGACAATTTTCCAGACCACGGAATTGTCTAACAGCGTTACCAACACTTCCACTGCTTACTGGCTTGTTAGAGGACATTTAGGGGTAAATTAGAGCTAAATAACAGCACAGAACACTTAGGCTATGTCTAAATAGCAGCGTTATTTCAGAATAATTGATGTTATTCCAAAATAACATAGTCTGCGTCTACACACAACCAGTTATTTCGACATAATGTCGAAATAACGTTGAGCTGGAGGACTGCTTACTCCAACTCCTGCAACCCTCATTGTATGAGGAGTAAAGGAAGTTGGGGAAGAGTGCTCTATCTTGAAATAACAGGTGTGAAGACAATGCCAATGTGGCTCAAGTTGCATAACTTATTTGAGGTTAGCCCTGGTGTGTAGACGTGCTCTCAGAGATAAGACTGGTGACTGTAAACAAACTTTATGGGACTTCAGGAAACTTAGCCACACACATGGACATCCAGCTAACTAAAATTGTTCTGGATGATGGCTGTTTCTGGACCAAAGAGTTCTGGACTAGAGAGGTTCATCCTTTACTGCAACCTAACTTACATAGTAGATAACTCCATATTTCAATTTGCTAATATAAAATAGGAATAGCATGATGTGTGGATGTTTTGAGGTTTGGCTCGTGTTTGGAAAACATTTTAAGAAATGGCTAAAAAGCACTAAGAGCTAATAATTCTTTATCAGGATCTGAACAGAACAGTCTCTGCGGGAGCTCCTGACTTTCAGTAGCCATAAGAGAAAATGATTTTGGAAGCAATAGATAGCTTGATTACTGGCATGGTGAAGCTATTATGCTTTATGAAAAGCTCTTCAGTAAGGTCCTACTTGTCAGAACTGGGAAATGTGCATTCTTAACTATACATCATACATATATGCACATAGGTCTGCATAAGGATTTAAGCACAGTTAAGCTGCCTAGATGAACTGATTATTATTAATTCCAGAGCAGCAGCTCTTGCCTTGGAATATATTTCTAAGGGAGACTGGTTCTTAGAATAAAGTTGCCTCCTCAGGAACAGCGTGGAGCACTGCAGGCACATTTAATTCACAACACCAGTTTAGCTAGCTGCTGCACTGTGCAGGCTTCTCTTTACCATTGTTCAGACAGACACTCGGAGCTTTTATTCTGAAGTGATGGCTTCTGCCTGTCCTATTCAACACATCCATCAGTGCTAACTGCACGGTACCATCTTTTCTAAGGGAGACTGGTTCTTAGAATAAAATCACCCCCTCCAGAACAGCTGGAGCACTGCAGGCTTATATAACCCACAACACCGGTTTAACTAGCTGCTGCACTGTGGAGTCTTATACCTACCATTATTCAGACAATGAACCTCTCGGATATTGTTCAATCATTCAAGGCTTTTATTCTGAAGTGATGGCTTCAGCCAGTCCTATTCAACACATCCATCAGTGCCAGCTGCACAGTATCATCTTCAGCACCGGTACCTTTCCCAAGTCCCCTAGGATCTGAGGCTTTCTTCAGCGTTGGGGGGTCTTCTAGATGTTTTCCCAAATCCTTCTGTTTGCCATCAACTTCCTGCCTGTGAATATGGCACATTTCCTCTCCAGTTTGATGAAATCTATCCCAGGTAAGAATCCCCTTCTCTCCTTCCTCCAAAGGGACAGGCTGCTGTCCTGTTCTTAGAACAGCTGCTGGAGACAAGTCAGTAGAGGAATTTTATTTCTTATAGAAATGAGGAATTAAATGATTCTAGGAGTTTGCTAGGCAGCAGAGAGATCCCTAGATATTTTGCAAGATAATAAACATGAAGGGGTAAATGCATCACACAGATTATATCAGATTATCAATGGAAAATGCAGGTTTAGATCTAGGGAAACCAGTAAACAGCAACATCCCTGCAGGGGATCCATTATATGAGCGAAGTGTCAGTGGGTAGTAACAGGGATATGATTGCTAGGGGCAGGAGTACCCACTGAAGTTTTGATTACCACTACACAATTTGAAATCTGCTGCTGTTTGTTTATAATAGAGATCTGCCATCAACCATTGAGATCTGGAGGTGAGCCATAAAAGAAAGGTATTAACCAGATTCCCTGTTGAATTTTCTTGGGTGGAATCAAAAAGCTGCTTCCAGGGACATCAAGAGATTGGATATTTTTCCAAGACTGTCTTGCGATGATGTTATCTAGTGTGTGTCTCTGGGTATGAATTTAGGAGCAGCCCCAGAGGCTGACTCTAATCAAATCTATTGCTAAATTTGTGAGGCATGACAAGAAATCCAATATCAGTAAGTTCTTTATCAGAATGGAGATTGAAAATATAAAGACAGAATTATCAATACAAAATGTCCAAGGAATGTTGGCTCTGGGCTTCAGCGGTATATGTAAGAACCCCTAACCCCACCATTTCAGATCTGTTAAAGTAAAGTGTTTTCCATTAATAGATCCAATGTTGCATGTGTCTGTGGCTTTCTTTTGTTATAATTTGATAGCAGAGCTATATTTCTCAAAACAAAGCTAACAAGGCAGTGTGTATCTCTGCCCTACTAGCTTTCATTGTACCTAAATCATCGTCCTTAACGGTGAGCTGTATAAGGAGGCATATGGGACATGTTTTAATTCTTTGATTTGGATAATAAGGCCTGTGGTTTGCCCTTCCCCCTACTTTAGCAATACTAGGTCCTCTTAGGTTGTTTTTTTTGCTGGTGGTCTGGTTGGAACCCCAAGGAAATAAAATGAGATTTCTCAACCTTTAGCAAAATACAGAATCTGTAATAAGAGCATTTCTTCCTGCTGTTTGTTCAGGCAGTCAAGTTAAACAGGTAGAGATCAACCTCCCCCCCCCCCAAACCGTCTGAATAAAAAACCCGTTCTCACGCTAGCTGGTGTCACTTCCCTGAGTTTAGCCATAATCCTACTCGCTCTCTAGTTGTTCATAGAGTTTTCCATGAAATGCTGGAGTTTGAGGGATTTCTGATGAAAACAAGTTTTTAACAAAGAATCTATCAAGCTTTGTTCATCTAATTAAGAAGCTGAGTACAAAGCCCATTTGTTTTCCTTTTATATGTTGCCTTTTTCTCGTGGTGTCTGCTCCATCTTTAATATTTATCATTTATGGTAGTTTTGCCACCTGCTTGCCTTACTGTTAACTATTCTATCAATATAAATGTAACTATGCTCTCTGCCTAAGCTACTGTGAACAGAGTTCCACTGTTCAAAAAAATGCAGTGTGATTTGTCCTTGAATTCTGCCCAAATCTGATTCATGTGAGTGGGGGGAGGGAAAGGGGGCTGTTGGGGGAGATTAGGTGATGAGAGATGAGTTAGAGAACCCACATTTTGGGAACAGGGAAAAATCTGCAGAACAAGGAAATCCAGGCAGAATCTACTCCATTTCTGTTCTGGATCCTTAGACCAGGGTTTCTCCAACTTCACTGAATCACGACCGCTTTCTGACAACAAAAAATTACTACATAGCCTCAGGAGGGAGGACGAAGTCTGAACTTGCCCAAGCCCCACCCTATGGGTAGAGGGCCAAATCCTGAGTCCTATGGTCATGGGGGGACAAAGTTAGTGACCCACTTTGGGGTCCCAACCCACAGTTTGAGAACTGCTGTCCTAGACCATAGCAATACTGCAGAAATGTCTTAGTGGAACTGCTGCTTCTCTGTTTAAAATTCTGAAATGAAAATGTTTTACAGCTAGAATATAAATCAACTTCTCTAATTGCCTCTAGCAGTATAGTTTCAGATTTCATCTTACATGAAAGGCCTCCTTTATTTCTAAGGGCTTTTTTATCAATACTAATGTTGGGATTGGATGAATTATGCGGGATTTAATATACATTAATTGAGTTTTAAGAGGGAGAGGTTGTTATACACTGCAGGATAATTACTTTAGCCCTGCAGCCTGAATTCTTTATCTAGCTGTCTTCTCATATAAGAGATCTAAGAAGGATTTGAGGATTAATGAGGTAGGTCCACATTATAGGAGGGTAAATTGCCACATTTTTTCAAGTCAAAATGAAGCTTTACCTTGTACCTGATTTGAACAAGCAAGTTTACAAAAGTGCTGTTTGACAAAAAATTTTGTTGAATTGTCTTTTCTCTGTTCTCCTTTAACTGATTGACGAATTGGTCTCTGATGAACTAGACTTCCGGCTTTGGCGATTTACAGATCATTTGTGCAGCAATTTAATGTAATCCCCTGGATGAAAGAAGGGAGGCTGGAAGATATGGCTGAGTTGGTGAAAGTGACTGGTCTGGTTAGAAGGAATTTCTGATAGGAAATGCCTCCTCATGCTAAATGGAATTGTAATATTGTCTGGAATTTCTTCAGCCTCAAGCCTTGCTTGCACTAGGAAATAACTCTGTTTCAGGAAGAAATGGAGTTTAGTTGTACCAGTGGTGGTCCCTGTTTTGCAAACAGTTAAACCTTAGTTGGCGCTGATTAAGCTAAACCAAATGCTGAACCACATCCGTCTCTTTGTGCTGATGAGGTCCACAGAGGGTACATCTAGACTACAAGCCTCTTTCGAAAGAGATCATCTAGACAGCCACAAGAGTTTCGAAAAAGCGATCTGCTTTTTTGAAAGAGAACACCCAGGCAATCTGGATGCTCTCTTTTGAAAAAGCCTTGTTTACATTCAAGAACGCCTTTTTTCGAAAGAGCTCTTTCAAAAAAAGGCATTCTTCCTGGTAAAAGTAGGTTTACCAATTTCAAAAAAAACCCACCGTGTTCTTTCGATTTAATTTTGAAAGAATGTGATGGCAGTTTAGATGCAGGTGAAGTTTTTTTTAAAAAATCCACTTTTAAAAACTCCGTAGTCTAAACACACCCAGACTGAACAGGTGATGGATTAAGTTAAGAGAGTTCTCCTCAGTGTGTGTTTGCCACGAGGCTGCTGCACCCTTTTAATGGGGATATGTGCTCAACATTTGAACAACGGGATTCCTATGAAATGCTCCTCCTTCTGTGAAGCATGTGATATTCCCTACCTAAAATCTGCTAATTTGTTCTCCAAACATGGAGCCTAATCTAGTCTCAGCAGATGATTTATAATGGTCATGTTTTCTGCTTTCTCTGCAAGGTAAGAGGTCAGAGACTGACTTCTGAAATCCCCTGTGAGCAAAGATTCTCTCTGTAGTGTAGAATTGGGTAGTATGCCTTTAAATAGATTGTGAACACTCTAGGGGCCCTCACTGTTTCTTACACCTGATCCCAGTGTGTATGGAGCTAGTTCTGGCATGATCAATCTACTTATCAAGCATGGTTACTTAGGACCCCACCCATTGTTCACTCTAAAATGAGGCACAGCACAGCTTCACAGGTGATTAATCAGCTCCACCCAGTCAGAGGCTCAGGGCTCCTTGCAGGGAGCTGACTGACTTGGGGGGCTGATTAATCACCAGTGAAGCTCTGCTGTGGCGCAGTTTAGAGGGAACACCGACCCCACCCCAACTGTGCTTTTCTAGTTTCTTCATAGTATACTTGTTGGCTACTTCTACATTGGTATGATCTTGTGCAAATACTCTTTAATGCAAGAGTTCTTATTCCTGAGCGGGAGCATCATAGTTCTTGCGCAAGAAGCACTGATTTCACACATTAGAACGTCAGTGTTCTTGCGCAAGAGGCCAGTGTAGACAGGCAGCATGTTTTTGCACAAAATCATGCCAATGTAGACACAGCCGTTGGGTAAAGAGCTAAAGACACAACAGCCCCTTAACAGGATTCATAGGCAGCTGTTAGGTAGGGGCTTACCTAAACCTACCTCCTGCAGGAGTCACCTGGCTTCCTTTCTCTGTTGCTCTCCTAACTTTCTGCTCTCCTGCATCACATCCTTGCTGTTCTCCCTTTTAGGGCTTGCCCCAGCTGCATCTTGAAAGCCCAAGAAAAGTTTTGCGTAGCATTTTATGTCTTTACGAATAACCGTATTTCCTCATCTCCTCCTACGTATCCAGCTCCTTACACTCTCCCAAGTTTCTGTTCTGGCTGCATCCTTTGTCTGCCTGCTTTCCCCAGCCTGTACCCGCACACAGAACAGCTTCCAAGTCCATATGAACTAAGCAAAATCCCTTTCTTTTTTAAGGTTCCACTTCCCCATATGCTTTCTATTGAATGTAACTTTAAGCTCTTCTATTGCATGTAACTTGCCATTGCTGACAATGGATGCCACCACAGTACTGGGCTTATGCAATGGACGGGAGGAGTGCTGACCAGCACCCGGTGACTAAGCGGTTAAACTCAGGTAGCTAGCAAAGGTGTTGGCCAGGATGCTGGGAGAACCAATCGAAATAGAAGATTGGAATTTGAATTGGATATAGATTCCTTGCCTGCTTTCTTTGTGTGGGAGAGAAAAACTGGGACTGGAGAGTCCCAGAATGATTTAAACCCAAGCAGGACTATCATGTCTCCAAGGAATTTGGGGCATGGGAATGGACTGAACAAAGAGAAAATTGGAAGTAAAGAAAAGTGGATCTAGTTGTGATTAGGGTTGCCAGGTGTCCGGTATTGTACTGGACAGTCTGGTATTTGCGCACTCTGTCCGGTAAAAAAAATCAGACAATACCGGACATGTGCAATGTCCAGTATTTTCTGATTTTCCGGTTGTTCACCGGACGGAAGCCTGGCATGGGCGGGGGATTGGCTGAGAGTCCCAGCTGGGAGGCAGGGCTGCGATTGCCGCCAGGAGCCCTTGGTTGAGTGTGAGGAGGAGGGGAAGCCTCCTCTTCGCTCGTGCGTCGCTGGGGCCTGCGCAGGACAGGCAGCATCCTGGGATCGGCATGTGCCTGGGTCAGTCCCACTCTGCGCCGGCCGATTTGCTCACCCCCTGCTCCTCCCTTCCCCGCA